GCACTGTTGCAGTTGTTTTATTAAGATATTTTGGGGGGGCTTTTTGGCTTTATTTGCTAATTTGCTAGGACAGATATAGCGTGACAGGGGTAGAGCGATGGGGGATGACATGCAGCAAAGGACCAGAGGAATCGAATCCACAGCTACTGCGGCACAGACACAGCCTTTTTACATGGAGCACCTGCTCTACCAGGTGAGCTAGTGGGTGCCCCACTGCTGCCGCTGTTTAGCAGTGTTTATGGAGTTGGCACTGTTAGCTGTTAGCTGCCAGCTCAGCCAACTCCATGTCAAGAACCATGTCCAGAGAACCCGTATGCTCTGAGTTTTGTATCAAGCCCCTTAAAGGAACAGCGTGTAAGATTTAGGGGGATTTAGTGGCACCTAGTGGTGAGGACTGCAGATTGCAACCAGCTGAAACTTCTCCAGGATAGAATTCCTTCAGTGTTTTTTGTTTAAAAGATTTTCACCGGGAGCTAAATTATCCGCAGAGGTCTCATTCTCTCCAACTCAAACAGTCCAGGTGATTAAAACTGGTAAAAAAAAAAAGAATAAAGCAGTTTCTCGTTACAAATTAGTGTTTGTCCACTGCTGTTTGGCAGGTCGCAGACAGGCCGCCAGCCCAGCACCTGCTGATTTATGCTCACCTTTTTTCCCTGAGGACTTAATGTGTGCTCACCTCATTTTCAGAGTATCACATGATTCTCTGAAAATCAATAACAAACAAGACCTTGCTTTCATCTCAGTTGTCAGATTTCTTGCCTGAAACTGCAAAACTGAAAAACTGTAAAAACTCTCTAATGCTAAATATCTCGCCTCCTTGGTCCCAAGATCAATTGATTCATCAATCTGGGGCAGAGGGTCCGTGACACTGAGGAAATGGAAAGTGGCTGCCTGGATGTTTCATTTCACAAGCTGAGATCCAAGAGGGATGACTGAGGATTTTTGCATTAGGGACTATTATTCAATTATTCAGTAAAAGAGTTTTTTTTTTTTAGCTTATTTTGCTGGTTTTTAGTATTTACCCAGCTTTTCTGTGCCTTTATTCTCTTGTGGTTTGTGTTGCAGCTGCTACTGTTTAACATTTTTTCGAGTACTTTTATTTTGAAATGTCTGTATTAGGGGTGCAACATCCTTTAGAGGTTTGCCAAACATGTGTCCAGTCCTGATTGGATAATTAACACAGATTCAGCCATATTGTGGTGTTTGTATAAGCTGCATGTTTTCAGATTCTGTAAAGCAGTCTGATGAAGGCTCCCTGCCAAAATGTGTTGGTTAAATGAGATGCAGACTCTTTCAGTAAGTCAGCTCTTCTCGCTGTTGCTGTTATTTTCTTTCTTTTCTGTGACTTGAGCCTGATTTAATTTACATGTGAGACAAACATTAATGTTTCCTCTGAGCTGCTAGGGCTACAATTACGTTGTTAGAATTGATGCAAAATTGATTCTGAATATTAAAGTAAATTGTTTGAAGCCACAGACGTTTCAAACATTTGTCACTTCACCCACTGTTAAAGGCACAGGCAGTGAAAGATTGGGTTTATTGACTGCATATTTCTAACAGCTGACCTCTCTTCTGAAGTTTTTAAGTGCATTGTCTGCAAATTGCCCACCTCAAAATGTCAAAACACTATAGGCCTAGCCTAAATGATTTGGGCTTTAACTTGTAAGATTTTGATCAGTGCAACCTCACCCATGTTTCCGGTCTTTGAGCACATGAGACCCCAGTGTATAGACTTTCTCCCCAGTCCCCGGGGTAACACAGCAGTACTGTGAGTAAGCAAAGCCTTCCGAGAGGAATCTGTCATGTCTGCTTGCAGGTCACATTAATGACTCAGCTCCTTGCTTTCAGAATCAGCTGCCTTCAGTTCAACACTAATCTCAACATCAGCAGTGTTACTCTGCTGGCATGAAGCAGTTACAGCCACCACACATTTTTAAGCCACACTTTCACATTCCTGCCTACAAACACACATTTAGCTTTTATGTGGCAGTCAGCTTTAATGCCTTGATTGTCTGTATGATTGTTTCTGTGAGTAAGTGACTGTCTGCTGTATGAGTGGGCTTATGTAACACTGGTAATACTGGCAGCGTCTATTAGCACCCAGTTGCTAATGCCCCTAAATGCTAGCATTTCATTTTACTATTGATATTTTACAGTGCATATTTAAAAGTTGGATACCTTTGTGTTTTTGTAGCTCAGCTGGCTTGTTCTAATTCTAATATCCACGTTTACATGTCGCACAGTACTTCATGTGTCTTGGGCAGATCAGATCAGTTTGACGATTAAATGATCTGTGTGAGTGAAAGAGCAACGGGGACGAGAGCCTGTGATGGCAAGTTTATAATTAATTTATAAAAGTGATTCATCCATTAATTTGTGTTTAAGTTCTGGATAGTTGTTAGCTAGCTAACTGTTATTGCTAACAGTTAACTGTTGTAGACACTTGAAATAACAAACATAAATGGCACCAAAACGGATAGCAAAGTCAGTGGTAAACAGAGCGCATTTGGTTTACAAGATGGCGTCGCAAGCAATTGTGAACCAGTATGGTGCTAAAGTAGTATGAAAGCAGACCAGTGGGGGGTGGGGCAGACAAATCTGGTTTGTCAAACAAACAAAGGCAAGAACCAGACAGGAGTTCCAAACACTTTATTTGCTCTCAGTAGTTTTAATCATACCACATTTTGATCCAACAGAGATCTTCGTCAGGCATTTTGAAGTCACCATCACAAAGCAACTTTAAGGTCTTAATATTTCTTGTTCTGCTTTGTGATGGTGAGTACAAAATGCCTGACGAAGATCTCTGTTAGATTGAAACATTGCACAAATAAAACTACTAGGGGCTTTTAACCCTGTGAAACCTGAGCAAATTAGCTTGGTTTCTTTCAAAAACATGGGTAGAAGGCAATGAGCAACGAAAGACGAAATGACCCAAAAATTAGCATGAAATTAGTAGACAGAGAAAATTAAAAACAAGAAAAATAGTAAAAAAAAAAAAACAAAAAAAAGGAAAGTTAAGAACAAACAAAAACACAAGGAAAAATGATCTTAAAAATTACAAATAATTTTAAATATATAATAATGATAAGTATTAATATAGTTTTTCCCCTAGCTTTTTAGAAATAATTTTCAAAATCTATTTTTTACCAAGTTGCTCCCTTCTTCCCCTTCTTTTTTTTTTTTTATCCAGCACGTGAAAATGTTTTTTGGATGCCAAGCCCTCCACCCTGCTTGTCAAGCAAACAAACTCAATTTAAAAACCATAGACTGTCTAAAAATAATGGACGTGGTCATTTTGGAGGCTCGAATTTGGCACTTTGGCTAAAGCTATCTCGGAAAAGTTGGAGCTAGGGAGGAGCAAGGGGTGGATCCAACTCATAGACTATGGTGATGCTCCTGATTATGCGTAACTTTAAGCCGGATGACTTATATAAAAATTCCCCCCCTGTACAGTTGACATGAAGGTGAAAATAAGCTACAGAGAACAAAACTGTGTTTTGTACCAGGCTGTAAACATGATTATCGCCACTTTCTAAAATTGGGCATTTAAACATGAGCGTCTATAGGGATTGACTACTTTTGGAGCCAGCCTCTGGTGGCCATTCAAGGAACTGCAGTTTTTGGTATTTGTGTGTTTGCTTCAGTTTCCAGCCAGAGAAGTTTCCACTTAGTAACAACAGTCTTAGTCACATTTTTACGTTCACAATGTCCAAAACCATTTGGCACATTAAAGCACAATGTCCTGTGACTCAGCTCACATTACAATCTGAATTGCTGGTAATCTGGATTTAATCTAAATTTTAAGACTCATTTACTGGATAAACGACCTGAAACGGCATCACTCGTGTTCTCTTATTGCTAACTACCTCCACCTGCCAGCCTTCATAAAAAAAATTGGCAGCCTAGTAGCCAACAATAATGTCATGCAAAGCAAGGTTTTACCGGTGCTGGTTACATTTGGCAGACCTGTGTTCTCCTCCCCACCAAAGCAGGTGATGCACCCCCCGAGCTCAGTGCTCAAATAAACAGAATGTCTCAGAAGCCGGCTCATCATTGTACACCAGATGCACAAGAGCCAAAAGATATGCTACAGGAGCAAGTTTGCCAAAACCAATTGCAGGAATGTTATTTTCCTGCTGTTGTCATAAAATACAAACTGCTATCTGATTGCAGAGCCCATACTGAACGATGAAATGTCAGTGCAATTCAAATCTCAGGTTTAGGCTGCAAGATTGGTATGTGTTTCTGTGTCTATGGATGAGTATGTATGTATGTGTCTCTACTATATCTGTGCTGCAGCAAACAGGCAATCAGCTGTCATGCTGCCAAGTATAAACATCTATGTGTATCCCTGATTGATGTGTTCATAGTCCTAATTTGAAATTTGACATTTAGGATGAAGTTCCCTTTAGCGTTTAATGATATTTTCCCCTTTCCAAAACAAAGCAATGAAGCCTTTGCCAGGTCTACTGTTACATCTTCTCATTTCCCCGGCTTAATTGAAACCGGTGTGCCCTATGTGTGTTGCCTATTTCCTTTCCCCAACCATAACAAACAAATCATTTACAAATGTTCTTTGTCCTGGAGCTAATTTAAAGACGCCAGCTTCACCTCTTTTATCCCGTCACATAGAGAGAGTTTTTCCCTGGCAGTCTAGTGATAGTATTAGACAAAGTAAAGTCATCTGCAGTATTTATTGGGTCGGCCCCCCCTCACACTCCCCCCTTCCCATAGATTAAGCTTCAGAAGCCGCCTCTTGGCAATTAAATCTATCAGAGGGCAGCAGAGAGCGCTCTGTCAGAACTGTTCCAATAATTGCAATTTAAATGAATATGGATTTAAAAACGTTGACAACACAAAGTCAGTTGTTGGGCAACTTGGGACTGACAAAAAAAAAAAAAAAAGAAGGTTTTCTCCTGTCATATCTCCCGGATTGTTTTCCTTTCTCCTCAAACGAACAGGAACCTCTCATTTACTATTCTCTTTCTCTCTGTTTACAGACACATAGAGAACTGGACGGGATTGCAGACTCTGAGAGACGTCGATATGGAGCTCTACACTGGACTACAGAGACTGTGAGTGTTGATGCTGTTATCTGGAGGGGGAGTGAGGGCAGACCTATGATAGAGACACTTCACTGTATTTCACTCCTGCTGTGTTGCAGATGTGGGAAAAGGACAGTGGAACCTGTACCGCTGTTAATCCCTATTTTCCATCAGGTCGCCTGCCTGCTTGATACAGAGAGGCCACTGGTTTTCTCCTATATGAGAGCAGTAATTCAGCTCAGAGTACAAGTGGCTGCAGCTGTGGCGTCACCGACGAGGCATTGGGATTTAATGTCCGATATTTCTCTGAATGTGACACAATCCCGGCTAATTCTCAGAGGAGATGACAAGGTGTTAGTCAGGGTGTGTAGAGAGAAGAGGGAGTGAAGGGTGTGTTTCTGATCCTAACACAAGCCGATGTTTAAACAGGCTTTTAATTCTCGACAGTCACACGCCGGTGGAACATCCCCTTCGCTTTGCTTAGCCACTGATCAAATAATGCTAAAAAGCAGCAGGGAAAATTGAATTAGAGGTCCCTGCTGTAGCGTTGTGATTTTTTTTTTTAATTCTCATCTTCACTTCTTAAAGCAATGTTCCTCTCCCTTTCCTGCTTTGCTACCGTACACTATGAGGCCACATCCTTTACATTCCGCTCACCCTGTCACTGCTCCCTCAGCCGCTGCCTCCCGACCTCCTCTTCCTCTTGATTTCTTTCTCCTTCTCTGCAGAGAACCGTATTCTCCTTTGCCCTCCAAAGTCAGAGCTGGCCTCTCCCCTGATCCCCTTGATCCCTCATCAGGGAGGCCAAGTGCAATATCTCCACTACTAAATTAGCATTTTTCTCATTACCACCACCTCTCTCCTGCTGCCTTGTCTGGGGACACTGGCTCCTCCCTGGCTGGAGTCGGTTACCTTCCCATGGATGGCTGTTACCTTGTTTGATGCTTCCTTGTGGGCCTGTTAGCAGTATGGAGAGATGAGTGAGGAAAAAGTCACTTTAGAATACCTTCCACCTGGATTTTAATTTGACCTCATTCATCTTTACTTGAATCAAATAAAAAAGTATGCATAATTAAAGTAAACACTGATATCATCTGACTGTATGCTTCATCTCTTAAAAAAGGAAACTGACTGCATTCCTCAACAGCTCATTATTATATTCTTCCACAAAAGATTATCCTCGCTTTTCTACAATATTGTTGCATTGATAGTTGTTGGACAGCAATGGAGCTCTGACACAGAAGAATAAAATATGTCAGACTTTGGATTAGGGTTGGATGGAGAAAATCAAACATTGCTATATTTTTGAACAAATAAGTATAACGATATTTTGACGGTACTAGAGGGTTGACTATTGGTGCTTTTACAAAACATTTAAGGCTCATTTATACTCCCTTCACGTACGAAAATAAATGTGTCTTCCTTTACGATGGCACAGTTACAGCCAATAGATGGCACTAAAGGGCATAGTCAAATGTTTTACACAACAACAAACAAGGCGACGGTGGAGGAGGTTGTAATATTGTATCTTTTAACAGAGGCAGCCTAGTAGATGGCAGCTTTATATGTGGCCATTATATACATCCCGACATGTGGATGGAGAATTATTTTCAATATATTACCATTTCATTACGTTCCGCCATTTATATAAACCTTTATTTAATCAGGTAAGTCCTGTTGAGATCGAGATCTCATTTTCAAGAGAGACCTAAATACATAAATGAAGACATAAAACAACCAATTAAAAAGTACAATGTAATATAATATAATATAATAATGAGCCAGTTAAAACAAGTTAAAAAAAAAAAGTCACCATTAACATCCATCAGGTATTTCACTAGATTTCTGAATTAACCAATTGAATTGGAATTAGAGTATCAAGCTTCAAAGTACACTACAATTCATTCCAGGTGTATGGTGTCAAAGAATCTTAAAGCAGTCTTTCCCAAATCAGTGTTAGTTCTAGGAACCTGCAGTAATAACCAGTCCTGCGAATGTGTGGTATGTGTTACGTGTGATGTCAAATATGAAGGCAATTTTTGCAATGTTTTGTCCCCTATGAATAAATAACAACAAATGCTTCTAATAGAAAAAGAAGGCCAACCCACTTTTTTAAAGAAAACAATGATGAGTGTCATAGCTGTCCCCAGTTATAGATCTAAGGGCTGAATGGTAAACAGCATTAAGGGGCATAAGAGTGAAGGCTGCGGCATGGAGATAAATTACATCACCATAGTCTAGCACTCACAGAAAGATTGCTTCCACAATCTTCTTTCTTAAAGATATAAGAAAAGATGACTTCTTTCTGTATAAAAAACAGGCTTAATTTGCATTTTTTGTGAGTGCATCAATATATGGTTTGAAAGTGAATTTGTCATCAATCCAGATGCCTAAATATTTATAATGTGGAACTTGTTCAATGTCTGTACCATTTAGAGTGCAGATTTGAAGAGTTCTGTGGTTAATGTGTTTGGCTCTGGAGGACAGCATACATTTTGTTTTGTTGCCATTTAATACAAGTTTGAGATTTATAAGTGCATTTTGCAGAGCATTGCAAGAATGCTGCCGGTTTTCAGTAGCCGAATTTACAGAGTCAGCCTAACAATATAAAATAGTGTCATCGGCATAAAAGTCGACATTACAGTTTTGCAGAGACAAAGCTATATCATTTATACAGTGTATAGCACTGGTACTAACACTGAACCTCGTGGGACACTTTTATCCCAGTTGTAATTGTTGAACCATCTAATGGCTTGTGAATCAGATTCAATATTTGATAGTCTTTGCAGGAGGAGGGAATGATTAACTGTATCATAGGCTTTTGATAAATCACTAAAGAGAGCAACACAGTGCTTCCTATTATCTACAGCTGTCACAAAAAATATTAAAAATAAGGAGGTAGCAGCGTCTTTGCTTAAATACCTTTGTCATGGTCGTATCTTGCTTGAAATACGCTACATTGCTTCCACGATCTCCAGTGGTACTGCTCTGTTTTGTCCGTATCCTTAAACTTTTGGGAAATGTGCACACATATGGCCAAAATAAATGTAGACTTCGGACAGAGGGCTCTGTCTGTCACTGTCTCTGTTTCTAACATTGATCTTAAATCAGCCCTTACACTCCTATTTAATAAATAATTATCACTAATGTGGATATAATGAATATGTGGGTAAAGACAAATAAAGGTCTGATAAGTTAAGAAAATTACATCACTTACTGATATGCAGACTTTAAAACCAGGAAAAGACAACACTTAAAATGTTAAAATAAATCTCAGGTGATATCAAGATATTGATATGATATGAATTTATTGCCCAGCTTTACTTTGGATACACAGAAAATACAATGGATAAGTACCTCATACAGCCCCACTTCAAAAAAATACTATAAACTATAAATAGAAAAATATAGAATATAACTGGACTCATCCCTGCTACTTTGGCGCATGATTGTGCTAAGATTTACTTTAGCTGGTTGCCAATTGGCATTTACCACAATTCTGGTATTGCATGTTCAAGTAGATTTTTACCTTGTTTTTTTTTTTAATCTAATTTCTATCTGGCAAAGATAAAATGATAAAAAAAACTGAATATTCTAAGAAGAGGAGAAGAACAGGCAGTGTGTCCAATTTTTCAAGGTAGTACAAAGGCACTCTTTAAGGAAGAAAAAAAAAACAACAAGTTTTGGTGAAGTGCTGTGGCCTTTTAGTTGGGTCTTTGTGTGACTTGGAAATCTAAATGTCCGCCTCTCAAAACTTTCAGAGTTGTCTAAGACTCCACATTAAATGCAGCAAACATCAAATCACTGCTGTTTACAGAGATGATTGTGTTCAATATAATTGTCATTACTGCTGGGAGGATAATAACCAAAGCTCAACAGTCATCTCTGAACATTGCTATGCTAATTTCGACGGAGTGAAATAACAGTGAAGTTATTGTTTGTAATATTTCTGGGGAACCCATCAGAAGATTTCCAAGGGCCCCAAAACCTCTGAAGGACCCTTGAAGGTCCCAGAGCCCCACTTTGGGAACTTTCGGGTGATGAAACGTGATGTCCCTGTCAAACACCACAGAGGCATGATCAGACTTCTAGAAGGTAATTGGCATCAACAGCTGGGTATAATCAGCACACTGCGTTATGAGGCGCTCGCTGATGATGTCAATGACTTCTTTTGGAGACAGACATCTGTGATTACAAGATTAGAAGTCATTACCATTGTAGCCCAGAACAGTGGTTTCCAAACTGGGTCGCTGGGAATTCCAGGACTCCTTTAGAGGATTCCATGGGGTCCCCCAGCAAAATGAGGATTAGTTTAATTTCACAGTTATTTCACTCCATACAAGTTAACACAATGTATAAATGTGTTGGAATGCATGCTCTAATCAGAGGTTCCACTCACTTTACAGTAAAGACACACAAGTTCACAAATCTTTCATCAAGTGGTGGTTCAAAGTGAATTTTCATTTCAGTGCCAGCTCCGCAGGGTGTACACATGCAGATTGAAGTTGAAATAATTGGAATAGACATGGACTTGTTACAGTGGACGGCTGCAGCAGAGACTAAAAGATGTAAAAATATCTGGAAATGCACTTTGAGAGCACAAGTTTTTTTCATTTAAATTTGCAGATTTATTCAAATGCCAAAATATTTTCAAACTGGAAAAGACAAAAACATTAACAAACTTGGACACAAATGGTGAAAGAAATCTTGAGAGGGTTCTAAAAAACAAAAGCAAAAAAGAGCAAAGAGGCTCAAGCGCGAGAAAGGATAAGCAAGCAGCAATAAATAAAAAGAAAAAAGAAAAAAAAAATCAAAATGGCCTTGATGCATGATGATCACAGCAGTGAAGTTCTGTGTGTATGCATGTGCCCACGCCAGGAAGAAAAGAAATGTCTATGTGTTGTGGTTATTTATTTTTTACAGTTTCATCTGTATTTTATCTTTTTTTTCCATTTCAGAACTATCATGAATTGCAACCTGAGGGTGATCCAGGCTCGAGCGTTCGCTCAGAACCCACACCTACGCTACATGTGAGTAAATATTCTATCTTTGACAGCCATGTTTCCCATGCCCTCAAATGATTTGTTATGATCTGTAATGCCTGACAGCTTGAAGCATAAGGCTATAGATGAGTTAGTGTTGAGCAGAAGATGATGCAGTTGATAGAGACTGGCTTCGGGAAAATTGTGGCGCTGCCATTACTGTCGCAGTAGCCGCACATCCTAAATGAGACATCCATTATTTGCCTTGGATAATTGGATTCCTATCTGCCTTGGTTCTTTGTGCTTCGGTAAAGCAACATGCCAAAGACGCAGTTCCATTTAGCCTGCACTCACCAAATGGACAATATGTCCAGGAGGCCGAGCATCAGAGAGCTGCGCTAAGAGCAAAGTAATTTCTTTAACAAAGGCTGATGTGTCACCGTATGACAGCCTGTTATTCCCCAATTTTCCAGGAGTAAACACGGTGAGGAACTCAGTCACAGTCTTTTACCTGAACACATTGCCATTTGCAATTTCCAGTTGTCAGCTGAGAGGCAGTTTGGTCTCTCTTTTCTGCTGCGGATGACTGCTGTTAGGCTTGAATCTGTGCACGTTGCACTGCGTGTGTGTGTATATGTGTGGGTGGGAGAGATAGCAAGCGGTAGTTTATAATGTGGATGCTAAAGTAAATTCAGTGTTTGACATTTTTGAACCTAACACAGAAAAGACTAGTCTGATTATCAAATTCATCGTCTTGCAAACTGACTTTTGGGAATTGGAGTATGTGTGTACGCCTCTGTGCTGTGTGTGTGTGTGTGTGTGTGTGTGTGTGTGTGTGCGTGTGTTTATGTGTATAGACTTCTTCAAAGTAAAGTTGGTATTTGCTTGTCTCTTTATCTAGTTAGGTGATTGGTAGAGCTAATCGAGCTCATCAACATTTAATGAAAGTTATTTAAATCCCCCCATCTCTTTAATTGTCTCCCCAGAAGATGGATTTACTAACATAAGACTGAAAACAAATAAATGATTGTAACCTTCTCACCTCTTCCTCCCTCTTTCTTCCTGAACTTAATTGCTGTGCGGGAGTGAGCTGAAGATATAAGAAAAGATTAGGTGAGAGGGTGATAATGCCTTTCTTTCCCCTTTGTTCTCACCTGTGGTGTAATGGTAAATAAGTGTGAAGTTAGTGATCATTATAATACAAACCATTATAGCACAACCAAAAATAAAATCGTTCCAGAAGTGTTAATTTATGCCTTTCCCCTCTCCAAGATCTCATGCTATATGAAATTCTCATTGGATTCAGGCTAAAAGTGTGATGAATGATGTTCTACAAATAGAAAGGATAAATCAAGTGAGTTCTTCACTTCTCCTACATGGAGGCATTTGCATTGTAACGAGTGAGAGCCCCACCCCAGACAGTCCGCGACAGGCTCCTTTTGTGATCTCATTAATGCAGATGGACTGTTGCTAGGTGACACGGAGGATGATGATGTCAAAGAAGATTAATTATTATGCCTAAGCTTAGCCTCAGAAGGCCGACCTCATTGATGTCTGTGTCAGACAGGTCTGCTCAAAGCCGGGGCCATCAAATGCTCAACTGGTTGCTCCTTTTGTGAGGAGATTTGTAGCTGTTCTCTTCATCACATGTTCCGGCTAAAGACAGACATGTTAAAGACACATTAAAGGAATACTTTACCTCCAGAATGACCATTTGTATATCAATTGCTCACCCCATGTTACACTGAATTTACATTGAAACATTTTTCTCCCGTGCCTCTGGTGAAGGAAGAATCCAAAAACGAATAAAATTCTTGATGAAGGAAAAGGGGTCTGCATTTCACAACAGCAAAACTATATCAAAACATCCATTCACAGACTAACACAACTTGTGCAGTAAAATCCAAGTCTCATTTATCTAGTCATATGCTTTCCAATCGGACAGCCCTGTCTGAGTATAGATTGTATAAAAATAATGAGCGTAGGGACCATGAGGTCATGCATATGGTTTGCAGACTCCCATTTTGGCGCCTCAATTTCGATCATTGTCATCTTGGTTTTTGGAGCCAGAGGTGACCATATTTAGAAAAGACGATGAGGGTGTTGAGGAGCGAGGAGTGGATCTGACTGTAGCAGCACCTCTACTGTCACTCAAGCGGTCCCACCCTTAAATATGTGTAACTTAAAACCCTAATAAAATGTTAGTGGGTGAGTTATAAAATAAATTCATCTCCCGTACAGTTGTCATGAAGACGGAAATCAGCTACACAGACCCAGGCTGTAAATATGTTAATTTTGCTGTACAGTTAAGATGAGAGGTCTATGGGGATTGACTGGCTTCTGGAGCCAGCCTCAAGTGGCCATTTAAGGAACTGCACTTCCTGTCTGGCTTCATTTTTCAGCCCCTGAGGTTGCTGCTTGAGTTTAATACATGTGCCATGCATTCTGTATGTACAGTATGTATTCTTGCCTCTCAGTCGTACAATAATTATCTAATAATGAGTTAGCAAGTGTGAGGAGGCACAGCAGGCATGTCAAGCTGAAGCGGTGTGTATCCACCTTATTTTCAAACACGGAAGTAAATAGTGATCAACTTTCGTGTTTTTGTGCGTGACTTCCGGTCAGCCGCTTTCCCTCATGCTTTCCCTTACCGGAGCTAACGGTGCAAGCTAATTTTTTCAATTTTCAATTGTTTATGTTAGTCAATCAGTTAGTTAGTTAGTTAGTTAGTTAGTCTGTGTATTTTATATAGATAACTGTGTCCACGTTTTCGTTATCCGGTAATTGCCAGTAAAAATAATTCCCTCTAAATGCGAATAAATCGCACGTCAATCAAAAACTATGAACCAAAAAGCACAATCTATCCCGAGTGAGACAAACTGCTTGATCCCCGTCTCCAGTGTACTAGCAGAGAACCTGCAGAACCAAATCAGCAAAAAAACAAACTGGGTTACACAGCCTCTCTACCTGAGCAGCTGAAGCTGCGGCTCGCACCCTCGGCACACAGACACACAGACTGTGCTTCTGCATGCCAGCCAAACGTGTGCGCAACTGTGAGAAATAGATATGTGAGGTGTACGCTGCTTTTCTATCTTTTTTTTTCCTTTTCTTTCTTTCTTTCTTTCTTTCTGTCAGCAACATACACTCCTAACACAGGACGGGTTGTTTTTATTGACTGAGTTGATTAATAAGCCATAGTGATGCGTGGATCGGCTCTGATAGCACCTGAATCAGCATGTACGCATCAACCATCCAGCCGTTACAACATGATTGAGCTAGCAAAGCAGTTTTGTGTTGCTATGTGTGGTATTTATTCAGTTTGGGGAAATCACAATGTCTAGAAAGCATCAGTGGCTGCAGCTGACAGGGACAGCTAACAGCAGCAGCAAAGCTAACATCAGGACATCATCTGTTAAAAGCCTCCCGTTGTCGGATACGACATGAAACTACTCCAGTTAGCTCAATCATGTTGTAACTAAGACATCCGCTGGAGAAAATATTTTTTTCACGGGCCACTTTGTGAGTTTAGTGAGTTATTACAGACACGGTTAACGGCTAACAGCTAACAGCTAACGGTTAGCCCAGCTAATCTACGATAACCATGTTATTAATTACACACACAGAAATAGTAATGTTTGTTCAATCATTGTGTTTATGGACTTTACAAACATCAGATTAGTCTAAACAGTGATATAGTGACGTGAAAAATGTGATATATAGCTAAACTCAACAATGTAAACAACAAGGCGATTCCCATTTACACAGTGGTCAAGAGTGCTGGACCGGAAGTGTCGCACAAAAAAACAGAAGCTGGCTGCGTTCTGTTTTGCCTCTGTGTTTCTGTGAAAAATAAGGTGAATAGGGTTGTAATATAAGCTATACTTAGCTTCCAGAGTGATGGTTTTTGGCCACTGCAAATAATGTTAACAACTTAATAACATGCATTACTGAAATAATGAGTTAAACATCAGACTCTTGCACATTTTGACCATAGAAACATCAAGGTGATGAACTGATTGTCATTTTAAATGTCATATCTGCAGTGGATGTGATGCTGTCAGGTCATATGAACTCATTAATGTGGACACGTGTTCCCAGCGTTATAGTAGGTTGTCTGAATCAGTCAGGATTGTGAATTTTTACTCGTTGTTTTTGCTACAGCCAACAATAGCAACCGGAAGTTAACAGGAAATGGAACATAAGTTCAATAAGGTAGCACCCTAATAATTCAACAAAAACCAAGGAAAGCTTGCTTTTACAGTAACTAGTCAGACACAAATGTAAAAAAACAGAATGCTGTGTAAAACACACCAAAGCAATGACAGTCAGATGTCAAAACAAACAAACAAACAAACAAACAAACAAAAGCACAGTACAGTTAACAAGATCTACCAGCCCAGATAATCTGAAAACATCTGCCTGGTTCATTAGAAATGAACTCAGCAATATTTAATGTCCTTTTTTATTTTTTGTAGCATTGTTTATTTTCCCAACAGCTCCTGTCAAAGCATCGGTGCTGTAATTATGAAGTGACCTCTGCGGGTCTGCTATATTTTATTTGAGCCCAAAATAAAGGTAATTACAGTATACTATGTCCCGAGGGAGTGCTTTATTGTCATCAGCAGGATCCTGGTGCACAAAGGAGGTACAGAGATTTAATCCATGCAGCAGCCAATATGTTCAATAACCCTATATCCTGCTAAAGTGCCTTCGAGCAAGACGCCAGGCCTCTTAATTTTCTGCTAAGACAGCTCAGATGAGAGTATCAATTGAATGCCATAATGGTAAATACACATTGTTATACATACAAAGCTCCAGGCTGTGATTAGCTCTCCAGCATTAAATCTGTGTAACATAAACTCATGACACAAATATTTAAGCAGCACTCTGAATTAATGTCCTTGCAAGATGCAAACAGAAAAATAAGCAAACTGTTAAATGTACTGCTTGCTGATGCTTTTCTGGTGAATGATTTACAGCACCATTAGGGTTACAGCCTGAGATTCCAAGACCACAGATAATACAAGCAGCCAGTGGTCAGAGTCAAT